GGGGCCGCGGGGGCCGGGCGGCCAAGAGCCTGCGGATCCAGGAGCAGGTGCAGCAGACCCTGGCCCGGAAGGGCCGGAGCTTCGTGGGCAACGGTGAGTGGAGTCCCGCTGCCCCCCTCCGCCGCCCGACCCCGCCCCTCACCCCCTCTCCCACCCTCCCTCACGCTCTGGCTGACTCCTTGCTGTCTGGGGGGTGACCTGGTGTTCTGCCCACCTGTTGCTCCACGTCCCTGTATATGACCCGTCACATTTCCAGACTCAGAACGGCTTTCTTGGGGAAAGCACTCTCCTCCACAAGAGTGAAAAGCTTTGCTCTTATGGAGAAAAGAGTGCTTTTTCCCAAGCTCCATCAAATCTATATGTGTATATATTAAATACACACATTATCATCCCTTCCTTTGCTTACCCGCTTCTTCCTCATCCCAGCTGGTACAGGGGACTTACTCTGGAGTCTCAGGGAGTCTGTTAACGCTTTGTAATTCTATGCAGAATTTTGGTATGCATGATCATTTTTCTTGAAGAAGAAGCCCTAGCTTTTACTAGACTTTTTAAAGAGTCCATGACCCCCATAAATATTTTGAAATAAAAATCCTGAAAGCACTGGCATTCCTACAACCTGTAAATTGGGATTGGGTTGCCTCGCCCAGCTACTTCAGGGATCGCCGCCGAGCGTGCACAGTGAGTGGTTGATGTAGGAAATGAACAAATTGGGTAGGAGGCTTTGGGCCAAGGAACTCCCACACAATCCCACAGAGGAGGAGGAGGAGGAAGGGGACTTTGGCCTGGCTGGCAACAGCTAGGCTCACCTAGCAGCTCCCAGCTCTTAAGCCTGGCTGCACTCCTTCCTCCACCAAAGTAGGTGTGGGTGCAAGGCTAGTCTCCAAAAATCTAAACACCAAGGTGAGAGGGGCTTAAACACACACACACACTGTATTAACTGTATTAGTCGTCAGTAGGGGAACTGAAAAGGGAAGAAGACGGAAAATCAGTTGTGAAAATTGGAGAACTTGGTATATTTTTCTCTTCTCAACTAAGTTCAGGTGATCAAAGAACACAGTAACTCTTACTTTAGTTGTTTAGTGTTTTTTTTATTAATAAAATTATGACAGGCCTATTATAGAGAAGAGGAAAGAAATTGAACAATTTATTTGGAGTATCTGTTTCCTACCATGTTACTGTTTCTGTAGGAAGTATTTTGGCAGAGTGAATGTAGAATTCATTAGGATAAAAGAAAAATGTTAACAGGCCAAACGACAGATTTTAAACAGCAGAGTCTGTACTGTACGCTTTTCAGTGTGTATTAAAGAATCCTAATGGATCAGGCCATCAGTATTTACATATGTGAAATGTAAAGAAAGCTTAATGATTGTAGCTAATGTAACCAACTGCCTACTATATGCCAAGAATAGGACTATGTGGTATACATTTATTATGTTATATATTTTTTTTCTTGTAAAAGAAAAGAACTTGTGAATGAGGTTTGTTATTATTAATTTGCCAGAAGGTATGTGAGCTTACCAGGGAGGGAATGAGAGAGAAGGAAGGAAAGTAAAGGAGGCGGAATGAGAAAGCATCTCCCCCCACCACCACCCCACGAGAGGATAGTCACGCTGCAATCCTTTCTCCTCCAGCTCTCCCTCCTTCGGGGATATTGGTCACATCTGCACACATGCTTGGTGTGTTTCTCACATTACTGGGTCCAGGACTCAAACCCTGCACTCGACCATGTGGGACCAGCCACCCTAACCACCTTAACCACCACACTGTAGACTGGCCAGTGAAGAAGGTATTTTAATCCTCAGTGCATACATGAGGCAACTAAGCAGTTAAGTTACAAGTTCCCACAGATAGTAATGGTCAGAGTTGATATTTAAATCCCCAAATCTGAATATTAAAACAATTTATTAGTTTTATCATTGTTTTTATTAATAACACAAAGTGGAATTTATTAGATCCAAAAAATCTCTTTGGCCCCCTCCTATTTTCCTCTAAATAATAGTGAGGATGTTCTGAGAGGGAGAGGAGATCTAAATACAGAACTGCCACAATACATGAGGAGAAAGATCCTAAATTTAGATTTAGAAGTGTGGCTAAAGATTCCAGGGTGACTGAGGCCAGTGTTTGACCAGTGGAGCCACTGCACTCATTCAGTCTGCGTGTCTGCGGATCCGGTGCTAAACTGGAACCGAACCAGCTTCCTCTGTTTGGAGACACACAGGATGCATATTAGAGATTATTTCTTATCCTATGGGAATAGAGCCAGGGGCAGAAAGAAAGGGAGCGATGCTTAGCGTATATCATGTGCCTATCTGTGTTCTAGAATCTTCGTGTGTTTGCATTTCATTATATCCTTAAAACAGTGTATGAGATGGATATGAGACTCCATTTCACATATGAAGTCTGTGTCTATCAACCTTTGATGGAAATTTAGTCCCAGCTGTGCATGTGTCTGACCTCTCTCTGTACAACATAGTTCATCAGCTGCCTGGTGAATTCCACAACATCAAATGAGTCGGGTTCTTCGTGCAGGACCCTTTGCAGGTGCTGAACTAAACACACAGACTCTGCTTGCTTTAAAGCAAAAAGTTTCGAGTCTAAAGAAAGAACCCTCCCTCTAGGAAAAAATGCATTAATTACCTACCAAATAAAAAGTGGTCAGCCACCCCCAAGGAAGAGTAGTTAACACATCATGGCGTTTAGAAGTATAGGTTACTAGTAGCTAAAGGGAATGATGAAAAGCTTTGTGGAAGAACTGAGACTTTGGATCTCAAAATTTTAGTAAGATTGCACATAGGAAGTGGCTAGAGAAAGCACTGGAGGAGGGAACAGCATGAATATTTCATAGTTCACAGAGTCGATATGGCAGAACAAAGGGCACTATCTTGGTGCTTCTGCTGTAATGCTTAGGGCAACTGCTTGAGTGGCTCTTCCAGCTAAGGAACAAAGCCTTTGAAATATTTTGATTACAGCAACAGCTTCCCAGCAAGCTGAAATACAGCCTACACAGAAGTGCAAAACGGGCCCAGAGATAAGGCAGCAAACAACACCTACTTACTTTAAAACTCAGCTTTCTGAGACTCAAAAAGGAAATCAGCTTCAAAGGAATGTAACATTAACATGCCATGGAACAATTACCAGGGGTGGTTCCTATATATTGTTTAATTAAAGTTCTTTGAAAAGGTGTGTGTGTGTGGGGGGGTGGTCCTCGTGATAGTTGTAAGTATTGTTTTTATTATTTCCGTATTACTTGGTCTCTCAAGTTGAAACAGACAAGCAATTGTTGAAACAGTGCTGGTCTGGAAAGAATCCTGTATCAACATAAGAAATTCCAGGAAGAAAAGACCCTGGTGTTAACTCCTGCTCCTTGCAGAGCCCCAGAGAATTCTGAATTGTTGACATACCTATAAGGCTGAGGCAGAAGATAATCTGCTTGAAAACAGATGAGATAAATGTGCCTGATGTGTTGATAAATACCTTACAAGGATCTTTAACTCTTTGGCTTCTTTCTAATGCCTTAGTATTAGGTGGGTGGTTTTCATTGTAAATCACTCAATGGCTTTTAGTGTTATTTTAAACTCTGCTGAACATTTTAAAATTGGCTGTAACTCTGTATGTGTGTCAGGGGAGAGGGGTGATCAGACGTAAATAGCAGCATAGTGAATCTATACTGTAGTGAATTTTTAAAAATCCTTTTTAAAACACCACAGAAGACACTTAAGATTAGAAAAGGGAAAAATTAAAAGTGTTCATATCCTATCTATTATCCTTGCCTTGAAAGTATGACTGTTTTACTTATTACACAGTTCTACCTTGGGTGCCTAAGTGGGAATACAGTCATATTTTAAATTGTTATATGTAATCTGTATATAAAACACAATGACACCACCCTACTGCAGTTTACAAGGAAATCCATCCTAAGAATTTGAGGCACATACGATTTTTTAGATGGTTTCCCTGATGAAGCTACTTCGAATATCCGATCAGAATCAATTCTGAAAGACTGAAAATCGGGTTAGGGTAGGTAACAAAAAAGGCAGTTCCTAGGTACTACTGGAGGAAAAAAATGTTAAACATTGTTTAAATTCTGTATGAATTCTTTGTTTGCCAGAAAAGAATTCCAGGAATAAAGAAAGAAATGGGGGTGAGATGGCAGTCATACAGAAAGTAACAGGGACCAGAAAAAGAAAAAAAAGACTTAAGTGGTGGGGTGGCAGGGACATGGCCAAGCTGCTATGAGTAAGGTGTCAGTAATGCCACTGGATTTAATGTAGCCCCACTGTCTGCCTAATGGAGCCCATGGCCCACTTTTTGTTCAGCATCTACAGATTGATTACAGTAAAACCCACCAACCCCCAATGGGAAAAAAAAGACATACATATTTTTAAAGAAATGTATCTGATTATAATTAGTCAAATGATATAAAATGTTAGCAAAATGGTGATTGGAAAAAACTCCTAGAAGTCCTGAAAATGTATCTTTTATGGTTGATGTTTGAGGGGAGGATATGGAAGTAAGCCTTCAAATCAATGGAACTGGAAGATACCACAAAGACCCAGAGTAATAGAGTTTGAGTATAAAAATATACTGTTCTATGTGTCACAGATAAGAAGCAGGAAATTACCTTAAAAAGAAGACTGTTCCCTTAGGCCTTTGAAGAGACTCTGTTACTGTTATCAGTGCCCTTTGCTAGCGGTTCCACAATCATGGGAACTGAGGGTAGCTCACTTGAATTAGATATTCTAGGTATTTGTTGTTCACATTGGCTCATTCTCCTAAAGTGTCATGTTGGATATCAGCTTTAAATGTTTTTCTCATGTACTAAAGTAAAGCTACATAGTACACATTTACCTAATTTAATCTTCAATAGTTGAACATTAATTTTACTCTAAAATTCCATTTTGGATCTGATCAATAAAAATAATTAAAAGTTTTGATTGGGACCAGCAGTTAGCTTAATGGCCATGTCGCTGGACTTCCATGTAGTTGACTCCTATTCGAGTCTCGGAAATGGTAGCTTAAAACTCATGCCAGGCACGTGTGCGTACCTGCCCAAGATCCTGAGAGGAGAATGGAGGAGAAGGATTGCGACATGG